TCTCGGTGGCCCCCACCCCACCCCAGGCTATAAGAGTATACACAGTACTTGGGCCGGTTGCCCTGGGTTCAGATCCCAGCTCGGAACTCACTGGCCCTGACTGAACAAGCTACTTGGCCTCCTGGTGCCTCAGTTTCCTACCCTGGAAGGTTGACACCAGTCAGGAGTATTTATCTCTTGCAGACTTGGGAGACATTGACATCTGTGAGAGCCCTGGGAACAGTCACGGGGCCAGCACTGTGTTAACACAGGCTGTGTCCGTGTTGTGGTAGCCGGCAGGTTTGTGCCGGTGTGTAAGATGAGAGGCCAGAGTCTAGGCATTTGGTATTTGAAGCCCTCTTTATATCATGCGAGCTGTTGAGGAGAAAACTAAGTGGCCTGACATTAATTAAAACAGCCAATCAAATAGTAATATTCATTCACTCTTGCTTCTCAAGTCTGGGTGTGTGTGTACATACGTACACACCCCACTTGAAGCTACACTTTTACAGTCAGTAGACTGAGGAGGCCAAGCATCACAGAGGAAAAGAAAATAGATGTGAATCAGCCCAGAACCACTTTAGTGATTTCTTGTCATGCTGCCTGTTAAATGCTTCTAGGGTGACCCGTCAAGCTGTGCCTTGAAGCTTGATTCATTTTAAAGTTTCTCATCTTGGCTGTGTCCTAATTGTTTCATTCTGCTGTAACAGGGTCTAAGACTTGATAATCTAAAAGAACAGGATTATTTTCTTCAGGCTTTTTGAGACAGGAGCTCACTGTTCAATTTAGATGGGCCTTGAATCACTATAAAGCCCCAGGTTGGCTGGCTTCGCACTCATGGTAGTGCTCCTGCCTCAGCCTACTGAGTTCCAGGGTTACAGGTGTGCATCATTGTGCCTGTCTGTGGAGTAGGTATTTATTGGCTTGCACTTGTAGAGGCTTGAAGTCCAAGGTGGAGGGATTGTGTCTGTGAGGATCTCCTGCTGTGTTCCATAGTAACAGAAGGTCAGAGGGCAAGAGAGCAGGTGCAGAGGAGCAGGGGGAGGGGATGAGTCATCCTGTGACCCCCAGCCCACTCTGGTGATGATGTCATTAACACACTCCAGCCAGCATGAACCAGCGTGCGTGACGGCCCCGTTGAGCATCTTGTAGCACTACTGGAACAAACAGATCTAATCACTTGTATTGGTCTTTTTACCAACAAATAGAAAGGAACCCAGTGGGACAGTCATGCTTATAGCACAGAGGTTCTAGCCTCCAGGCTGGGAGACATAAATTACAATCCCGAATGCATAAATCATCCACATGGCAGAGCCTTGGTGGCCTAATTGTCCTCGCCACCTCTCAACACGGTTGCACTGGAGACTGAGTTTCCAACCTGTGGACTCCGGGAATGCATTCGAACTGGAGCAGCGGATGCTGATGTTCTCCTCAGAACACAGTGTCCGCCTGTGGGGAGGGGCAAGGCACTACCAGCAGCACTGTCCACGGTGGACATTAGCCGTTGAGAGGGCAGCTTTCTCCTCACCCCAACTCACATCGACCCACTGTGATTCCCAACCCCGTGGCTGCCCGTGTGCCCTAATGCTTCTGCAGTATCTGGCTGGCACTGGCATTTGTTTGCAGCGTAGTTTGATGTTCCTCTGCGCTCTCGCTCGGCCTGGGCTCTGCATTTGTTGGTGCTACTTGTTGCATATGGGACAGGCCATGAGACACGTAATGGCTGAGAGGCCAGCCTCTGCTTAAATTTGGCTTCCCTGCACAATTACCAAAGGTGTCAGCATCAAACTGCACTTGCTTAGGTCAGACCCTAACAGCGGAGGCAGGAGGCCGTCAAGAAGGAACCCTCACATCCATATTCCTGGGACAGGCCTCTGCAAGGAATTCCTCCTCCTGCAGTAGCCCAGCTCCGCCTTTTCTCTCGGGGGTGCTTGTCTGCTGATGGTGGTCTCTGCCCAAGAACTAAGGTCAGCCCCTGCAATAAGCACTTCTAACCAGTGGTCTTTGTTTCCAAACAGCCTACGTGGATATCTCTTTTTTTCCTTCTAACAAGCTGCTTCTTGGGGCTGTTGGGTAGCTCAGTGCTTTCTTAGCAGGTAAAAGGCCCTGGTTTCTGTCCCTAAAACCCAAGGTAGAGTTTCCCCTTTCCTCATCCTCTTCTGGGGCCCACTGCTCCACCGCCATGTGCATGTCACAGACTCTTCCAGTTCCCAAATAAACTCTTTGTTTAGAGAGTTGGTCTCACTGTTGCTCAGTTCAAGTTGACTGGCTGAGTGGCCCTGAGCCACTCTACGGCTCAGTCCCTCAGCTGCAGGAAGCGCCTCCACCCCAAATGCAGACTGCCCCCTCTGCTCCTCCTGAGGGTCAGGGAAGCCCTCATCACGTACTTCATGCATGGAAAGCACACTGTAAATACCGTCATTCCTTTATCCTGCTCCATGCCACTACATTCTTGCATTACTTTGCTTGCAGAGGACCTCAGCATTTTACATCTCAACATCTAAATTCAAGACCACCTTACTACACTGGCCCATAGGGTTTTGAATCTTCCAAGGCTTGGGGTTGGACCACACACATTTAATAGGACTCATGAGCACTGAGGCCTGGCGTGGCTGGCATTGTTTGGTTAGATAAGTGTCCCAGAGACAACATGAATTCGTGGGGGCCCCCCATAACTCAGTAGCATAGTCAGGAGAGAAATTCGGCCCTCCCTGCCCACAGCTCACCACAAACCTTGTGGGTCCTGCTCCTTCCACCTAATGATGACTAATCCTTCGCGTCCACTTGCTTTTGCCTTGGTCCCAAGTTCCACTTTAGATTCTTACTCTGTCCCATTTCTGCCCTCACCTCTCTTTGGGGTCATCTTTCTTCCTTTTTGGGTGGTGGTTTTCTGTTTCATCCCTTACCTTCTCCTGTATTCACTTCCTAGTTCTCTCATTGTAAAACCTACTCTTAATAAAAGCTTATTCCATGTCTTCCTCCTAGCTGTGCCACTCAGACTTGGACTGTTTCCCTCTTCTCTTTGGACAAGTGCTGAAGTTGGGCGCACGCTGTGTCTTTGAAGCCCTGGCCTTTCCCGGGAGCTCTGCACCTCGCTGTCCTGGCTGCGCTGGTCTCTGCACAGTGCCAGCCTCCTTCCGCCCCTCTGACACAAACGTGTCCTGCACATCCCCTGGGGCTGGGACTCCTTTCCCATCGCACCCTTCATACTGCTTGTGTTATTTTTGGACTGCAGTCCAAACAGAACGGAATGGAATTTATGTCTGTCTGCCTCTGAACTTCAAAGCCTTGGACCGCAGTCTCCCCTCGCTGTTTTCCATGGAAGCCTTGCTCTCCCATTAGGTTGCTGCTCCAAGCATGGGGTGGGGGGCGTGGATTTTGTCCACAGGGAGTGCGACACATTCGTGTCAGGAGAGCTTTAAAGTGGATGGGCTCCAGTGTGGCCCCTGAGGGCTCGGCCAAGCAGCTGAGTAAACTCCTCTTAGCTGTGCCCACTGTTTATTTTCGTGAAAGATGACAATAGAGTTCCCTTCTATCGCAAAATAGCTGTGCAAGCGGGAGAAATGGTCTGTTCCCATCTAAAAATTTTCACTTGAAGATGTTTCACTGGCCTCGTGAAAATAATTTGCAGGCTAGAAATGGATTTCATTCATTCGTCACGGGTTCTCTCTGATAATCTCAAAAAGGAGTGTGTCGGTGTGCGGAACTTGTTTGAATCAGAACTAAGTCGCTTCACCTGTTCTTTCCCCAAGTCCTCTACTTTGTGAGTCTGTGACCCTGGCCACAGGTCTGTCTCAGTTCCCTCAGCTGCAGAATGGAGATAGTGTGTTATTACCACGTTTCCCGCCAGAAAATAATCAGCCTTGAAAACTAGAGATTGGAAACACCAGCCATAGGGCAGTGGTGGACTCTTAAGCTGTTTGGACTGAGTCCCTTCCCACAAGGCTGGGCGTGGCGTTGTCCAGGGTAGCATGTGACACTTTTAGATTCTGAAGCCTCCTGGGTTTTGAATTTTCAAATAAGGGCTGCTTGTTTTTAATGCTACTGATATTTTTAGCCCTGTAAGATATCATAAGAAAATACTCCAAGCATCAGAGGATTTTAATTTCTTTGTGGCCAAAGTACAGCCCTCCCTGTGGGGAGAATCCCCAGCCACTTCATTCTAGGGTGGAGGCCCAGGGGTGCGAATCAGGTTCAGACTGGTTCTGAAACATGCGAAGGTGACCCTGATGACAAGTGAGGGAACAGAAAGAAACCCCCACACACCGTCTTCCCATAGCCCCAGGACTAATGTTGGTCAAAAGTGAAAATATAAAAATATTCTGTGTGAAGGGACATGTCTGTAGCCCCAGCTCTTTGGAGGCTGAGGCAGCAATACTGTTTGTGCCCGGGAGTTGAGAGCCTGCCTGGGAACAAACAAGACTGAATGTATACCCATTGGATACGTCTGCATGGAAAAGGTCTACCACTCGCCCTGGAGCCTTCAGGGGGCTCCATGATTAGGGGAAAAGGGCTAGTTACTGAGCAGTGCGGTGTGGTTCTTGTTTCTCCTTACTTCACAGGCACTAACAGATGATCTTCAGGTTCTAGTTTCAAAAAGGATTTAAGCAGCACACAGCTTTGTAAATGCCCCGTGGGTCCTGACTGTACTCTCACTCTACTCCCGCTGCTGCCTACTTTCCTTTTTAGAATTCACCAGCCACAGAGTAAGCTATTAGCAACTGCCTTAAAAATAACGTAATGCAGTAGTAAAATAAATGAAAACAAATGCAATGATACTGATTTGTAATTTGTGCTGATTTCAGAAAGGATTTGATAGGAACAGTCACAGCGAGGGCTTGGCAGACATCGCAGGAGCCCTGTGCAGAGGGGACCACTGGTGTCCCCAGAGGGCCTTGTGACAGGTCGTGTCTCCTCCTCCCTGTGGCATCTGTCTGTCCCTGTAGGGCTGCAGGGGTGGCCAGATTGGGACTGCAGTGGGGCAGCGGGTGGGTCACCGTGCCACGTTTTCTCTCTTTCAGAGACTCTGACCTGTTTCTGTTGGACACCCGAGTCGTGTGGGCTTCAGAAGAAGGCTGGCTGGAATTTGACATCACAGCCACCAGCAACCTGTGGCTGGTGACACCCCAGCACAACATGGGGCTCCAGCTGAGCGTGGTGACACAGGACGGTGAGTGGAACCTTGTGTACTCCTGAACTGTGGCTGGTAGCTTTCTTTTCCTTCCCCTCCTGTGGTCATGTTGGGGTACTCATCTCCAGGGTGACCTCACTTACTATTCCCTTGTGGCTGCCCCTGGAAGCAAAAACCCTTCTAGCTGAGATATGGATCCAAGAGTCACGACAGGGGACAGATTTCAGTGGCAGGAGTGTCGGGAGAAGGGAGACAGAGCTGGGTCTATGCGGGGATCCCTCCAGCCCGTTCCTTCCGCAGCTGCAAAGCTCGGGGTCCTGACTTGCGGTCTGCTCACTGATCAGGGAGAAATGAGGTCAGAAGGAATGAGGGAGCATGGGTGAATAAGACCCCCCAGAAAGAGGGGTGCGCCCGGAGGTCATCTCACTCCTCCTCTGACCCATGCTCTGAAGGGTCTGCCGTTGCAGGCTGGAGAGCTCAGGAGGCTTCCCCAGACACCTACCCTCACTGTCAGCATGTGAGGTCTCGGAAAGGGTTGCTGCATGGCGTCTGTCGCTATGGGACTGAGATTCCAGCAAGTGAAGGGGGTTGTGCTCTGGTTTGCATTCCAGGCCTCCATGTTAACCCTCGCGCTGCGGGCCTTGTGGGCAGGGATGGCCCTTATGACAAGCAGCCCTTCATGGTGGCCTTCTTCAAGGTGAGCGAGGTACACGTGCGCACCGCCAGGTCTGCGCCAGGTCGGCGTCGTCAGCAGAGTCGTAACCGCTCCACCCAGTCCCAGGATGTGGCCCGGGTCTCCAGCGCTTCCGGTAGGTGCGCATAGCCCCGCTGGGCTTGGTGAGAACAGAGCTCTGGTCAGTGGTGTCGGAGGTTTACAGATTCTGCTTAGCAGATGCGGTGGCCAGCGGTGTCCTTGCGTGATGACAAATCATCACAGGCACAGAATGTCTAAGTGGGTTCCTAGGGCCCTCACTGCAGAACGGTTGTTATCCAAGGACCCTGGCTGCAGGCATCCAGACTATCTCTTTACCCAGAGGAGCATCTGCTGCGTTACATCCACCTAGCTCCTCTGCTGTGCCCTCAAAATCAGGGAAACCTTCCTGTTATTTTTGGTTGCCTTCCTTAACCCCGGGGCTGCAGTGTATGTATGGTTGAGAAGTCCTGTCTGAAGCACTTGGAGCCAGAAGTATTTCAGATGTTTTATTTTTTCAGATTTTAGAATATTTGTATATACATAACAAGATATTGCCAGGCATGATGGTGCACCCCTGTAACCCCAGCTGAGGCTGAGGAGGCTGAGGCAGGAGGATCCTTGGGAACTTGAAGCCAGACTGGGCTACAAAGTGAGCTCAAGGCCAGCCTGCACTGCATAGCCAGCCCCTGTCTCAAAAAAGACAAATAAATAAAATAAAGCTGTCTTGGGGGCAGGAGCCAACCCTAGATGCAGAGGACCATTATGTTTCACAGATGCCTGGTACCCAGCCTGAAGGTCATTTCCACAGTACTTGTAGAGTACTTTCACGGTGACCCATCACATGCAGTCAGGGATGGGATTTTCCCACTTGTGACATCGTGTTAGCACTCCAAAAGTTTCAAATTTTGGAGCTTTTCAGGTTTCAGATATCCAGATTGGGCCACTCAACAGGTGCACACAAACCTTGTGTATTTGTGGAGCATGGACCTGTGTTTATCAGCGGCCTTGGCTGGAAGTGACGGAAAGTCAACACTGATGGCCCTGGAGAGTGGGCTGGACTGAACCGGGAAGTTCAAGGCTCTGGCTTTTGGCTTGGCTGGGTGGGCGGACTCAGGCGATGTTAGAATCGTGTTCTCCTTTTCTGTTTCCCTTTGTTGGTGGTATTCTCAGAAAGAGTCTCTGTGTGGAGGCAGGAAGGCAGCCACAGTCCCAGGGTTTTGTCACGCTTGGCGATCTCGACCACAGATGGGGAGAGAGCCCCGCTTTCCTGGCAGTGCTGGCAGACAGCAGGGCCTGGCCCGCATCCTGCACCCTACCCTGTGGCTCCCTGATGCCCGGGAAGTGCTCCAGTGGGTCAGGCCACATCACGTGTGTGCACCTGGGGCCGGGGAGGTCCGCCTCCTTCTACCTGGAGCAGCTGAGGCTCCAGGGCAAGAGAGGAAAGACCCTGCTGCTGCGTCTCTGACCAGTCTCTCATGTGTCCCACCCATGCCAGGCCCTGTAGCGGTCAGGGCTGAGGTGCAGTGGAGAGGAGTGGACCTTCCCTCCTGACAGCCCTCCACGTAGCTGTTCACTGGAATTGAACTCAAGCCCCCACATTTCTGTCCTTCCAGCAGTGCCTGTGTGTCCTGGTTTCCTTTGAGTAGCCTGGGGATCAAGAAGAAAGCAGAGGGTTTGGTAGGATTTGCAGTCAGAGCACCTGCGTGCCTTGTTGCTACCTTTCGACTCTGGACAGACCCAATATTTTCAGATTCACTTTCCACATCTGTAAAGTGGGAATGATGAGTGCCTTGCAGATGGCTTGAGATGAAATGAAGTCCACTCCATCTGGCTGAAAATGGCACTCAAAGACGTATTCTAGCCAACCGTAAGATGCAGGTGCTCAGGGTGGGTGGATGCCAGAAGTAAACTACGGCTGGAAGTCACTTTTATTTTTCCAGGTGGCTGTCTATAAATGGCACTTTCATTGCCCAGAAAGAGTTAATGCAACTCCCCAAAGTGCTGGGTTTTCTTTGGGAAGAAGAATCTCTTCAACTTCAGGTTCTGACTTTCTGCGCTGTGTCTTTCACATGGAACTTGAAACCCACCACCCAGGGTGATGTAACAGTGTGTTTCTGGCCTTCTTGGTGTTTCTTGGAAACCTTGCCCAGCATGGGCATTCCTGTGTTTACCACTACAAACGGCCAGGGCTGGGGCTTTACAAAGAGAAGAGGGGAGAGAAGTGCCTGGTTTCTCTTATTCACTTCAGAGGCAGCTCCCTGAACAGAGCTGATGATCTGTGGTTCCCTCTGGGGCATGATGGTGGCGTCTGCCAGCGGTGGGCTTGAAGTCATTCATGACCTGTGGTCAATCGGTTCTGGGACCTCAGACATGGAGGCATCTCTTGAGATGCTGATTGCTTTTGAAACTTAAAAACTCACAGTTGATTAATTCAACACTCACCCCACCAGCCCAGTGTATACGCACACCAATTTTTTTTTTTTAATTGAGAAAACATGTTGTCGCTGATTTGGATTTTAGCAGTGTCACCCAGTTATTATTTTCCAAGTCTCTTTCAGTTGTTTTTTTCAATTTGATGAGTCAAAATTAAATGTAGACATTAAAGTTGATCTAATTTACAGTAAGATGCAAATGTCCCCGTTTCATTTTGGTCTCCCTACTCCTTACCACCCAAGCCAGTGCTTCTTAATTTCCTTTGCTTCTTTTAGTGGTGCTGGAGCAAAGAGCTTATACCAAATCCCTGTGACCACACACATTTGCAAGTCCCCAGGGACATAGTACAGTAAAGGACCCTCCCTTCCTGCTGTCCTGTAAGACCTCACCACTGAGGAGAAGCTGCTTACAGCTGGCCCAGAATCCTAATTTCTTTATTTGGTGCTTTATTCTTCTATAAAGGGGAGTGGATGTGCAGAAGATTTCTCCCCAAGAAGGGATTTCCAGGAAGCTGGAGAACCAGGCATAGGGTCCTAGCCTCTCCTCCAGGGCTGGAGACCCACAGGCTGCTGGGCCTTAGAGAGCCAGGCCAAGGCTGCTGAGCTGAAAAAGTCCGGTCCCTGGCGTGACTCAGGCCAGCTTTCCCCTTCTGAATGGCTCAGAGGCCGAAGGAAGAGATTGCTTTGCCTCTGCTGCCCCCGCTCTTCTGCAGTGTGCTCTCTGGGAGCTGAGATTTCTCCACCAAAGCAGCCACCTTGAGAAGAAGCCCATCAGGGACTGTCTTACATCTGGGTAAAGAACTTAATCTCCTGTATCAAATTGGCTGTCATCGGGGTGAAATGTGGTAAGAAAATCAGGGGTGGTTTTGGTAACTGAGCTGTGGATGCTGAGACCCAACTGGTCCACTATGAGCGAGGAGGCGCCAGGAGCCCAGCAGCCCTCTCCCTGCCTCCCAAGGTGGGCACTAACATTCATAGTTGGCTTTCAAGTTGGAGTTTTGCAAATCTGTGCACTAGGGGTGGGTTCAGCGGTGTCCCTGGGCCCTTGATTCTGTGCAGCTGTGTGCAGCCCTCCAGTGCCAGCATTGCCGGCCTGCTCTTCTCCAGGGGGCTTGCACGGCCTCTGGAAGCATCGCACTCTTTACACCTCTGCCTGGCTCTGCAGCAAACCGTACTGTGCAGACCCCAGGAGTTCTGACTCATCTGGCCGTTCTCTTTCAGCCTCGAGTTCTAACCGTCTCCTGCAGCTGTGACACTTGCCCTTGCATTCTTTAGCTCTATTTTAAATGTCTCTTTCTAACCGCTGCCTTTTCCCTCTTTGAAGGTCTCTCTCTTAGAGTTCGTTATAGTAAGTCCCTGCCTCCCAAAGGAGCTCGGTTCCCGGAGGTCAGTGAGACAGATTGGTTCGTGAGTCTGACAAAGTGAGCTTCTCTATACCCTTGACACAAATAGACAGTGAAAAGTATAAAAAAAAAATCTCAACCAAACGCACAGAAAAACTGTAGATACACTATTTTTACTGTACACCTGGCATCTAGAGGACTGCGTGGAGTGAGTGGATGAAAAGAGTCACAGTATGAACTGGAGGGGGAGGGGCGATGACATGGGATTTTCAGTGGACTCAGTTCTGTCCATTCTATGTAACCTGAGGTCCAGTTATGTCTGTGAGCGACCGCAATTTGAATGTTCGTTAAGTTGGGCACTTACTGTACTTTGTCCTGGGGAGGGCTGCAGTTCCCATTGGTCAGTCCATTTCAAGCTCTACAGATAATGGCCTTGAAGGATGACTCCCTTTGGTGACTTTTTTCCAAGACATTTCTAAGAATGAAGAGGGAGTTAACGCTATTTCAAATCAATTAGTGAGTCAGGTTTTCTGTTGCTGACATAGTCACTGAAAATTAGTCTTCATTTTGTCAGATGGAGAGTTGGGCTATTGTCTGTGATTTCCAGAAGTTCATATAAAGTCAGAACTGAGTCTCTTATTCTTGTTAATTCTGTCACCACCCAGCTCTGCCAGCTTTCTACAAAGCAGCCACCCTGTAAGTCCCCATGTGCCCTGGGGCACAAGTCTGGCATCGCTCTCATGCTACCTGTCTCTTTCCCACCCATCCAAGCGTGTATCTTTAAAAATGTCAGGAAAATGCGGCTTTAGGACTGCAAGGTGCACTGGGATCTACTTGCTGGTCACGCTGATCTCCTGGCCCTGATCTTGACAGTTGGGGCAATGGTGCGTGCACCCAGTGTGACAGACGTAACCAGGGTCCATCACTGGTAGAATTCATCTCTTTGAGTACACAACTCTTTGCTATAGATTTCAGGAACTGCAGTGCACAGACTGGGAGTCTCATTGTGTTGGTGTGCCCAGGACTTATCTTTAGCTCTCTGGGTTGCGGTGTCAAAGCTGAGTGGACATCCAGGGAAGAATCGACATGTTTTAGGGCTACAAAATTATAGTCACTGGTTCTTCACAGGAGTTGGGAATTTTACTTTGTCATTTTGATCTTAAATTAAAATTTTAGGACCTGTAGCTTGGTTTCCAGATGTTTTGGTTAAGAAGCAGAGGCTTGTTCAGAACAGCCTAAGTGAAGTCGAATCTTCGTTCTCCAGAGAGATGAAGACCAGGTATGGAGTTAGTAACTGAAAAATTAGAATCATTTAAACCCTATTTTTATCAGCCTTGACC